TGGAAGACAGACAGACAGACAGGAAGACAGACAGGCAGACAGACAGGGAAACAAACAGACAGACAGGCAAACAGGAAGACAGACAGGAAGACAGACAGGCAGATAGACTGGAAGACAGACAGACAGGAAGACAGACTGGAGGACAGACAAAGACAGACAGACAGACAGGAAGACAGACAAAGACAGACAGGGAGACAGACAGACAGACAGGAAGACAGACAGACAGACAGGAAGACAGACAGACAGACAGACAGACAGACAGACCGGCTGCATAAACCAGACTTCAACTTCCGCTTTGTTTTTTTAGTCCACTCAGGAAAGCTGCCTGAGACCCTGCGTGGACTTTAGATCAAGAAACTAGAGTCACCTTGTCTGCTTCATGCTGAGCAGATGATCCAGGCTGTTTTACATGAATCAGAAAAACAAATAAAGTAACAGAATAAATATAATTATCCCTTTGTGGTGTCGCGTGAAGATAAATGACACAACAAAAGGTAAGGTTTAAACAAGGAGGCGCATTAAAGTCAGAAGTTACACTTGAACGAAAGGAGCAGCTCCACGTGTTAAGCTTCTTCCCTCCTCATCCTCACCTTGTCTGCGTCAGGATCCTTCCTGTAGCCTCTGCTCCTCACCTTCTCCACCCCGTACAGAGGGACAGCCAGGAGGACCAGCAGCAGCAGGCGGCCGGAGCGGGGACACATCCTGACGGAGGACACTGAGCACTGTCTCTGAGGACACTGTCTCTGAGGACTGAGCACTGTCTCTGAGGACACTGTCTCTGAGGACTGAGCACTGTCTCTGAGGCTGACTCCAGCTGCGGTCCAGAGGAGGGCAGGACCAGCACAGAGCAGCCAGTCAACGTCCAGAGACTGATCTGAGTCCATGTCCACATCTGATTGGACCCGGACTGAAACAAAGGGACATTTCAGACATTTTGAAGCGGGGTTCCATGCAGAGCTGCTGGATCACATAGACATCATAATGTATGTCTGTGGTGGATCAGGTCCACTTTATGGATCTGGGTCATTTTGAATCGCCCATTAAACCAAAAGTGGGCAACTTGTGCCCCGAGGGCCAAAAGTGGCCCTTGGACACTCTTAATCTGGCCCACAGTATCCCTAATTGTAAAGAAAGAAAAAACATTAATAAATGGATGAAAACCTGAATTGCATCAATTAAATCTAAGGAAATCTAAATTAAAACGTTTTGGACAAACGCACTGAAAAAAATCTGGATCATTGAGACAGGCTAGATCTTTGTTTTAAATTGTGTTTCCAGTTCAAGCCTGAAAAACTCCAAAAATAAAACATTTTTATTATTTATTAATTTATTTACATCTAATCTAACAAATGTATTGTCACAGGAGCTAGCCGAAGTGTGTGTTATAATCATAAAGAGTAATGGGGAGACATATGTTCTACGCTACACGAAGAAGATGCCTGAAAAAGTCTTCCAGATTAACTGCCTTAAAGAAAAGACATGGTCCAATTCTCTATGTGGCCCTTTGATTGCTCTAAATATCTTATGTTGTTCATATAAAAACAACGTAAGATATATGCAGGTTCACACAGGGTCAACAATGCAATGAAATGTTCAGAACGATACAACTCGTTAAAAAAATAAAAAAAAGAAATACTAAAGCATTCAATATGGGTACAAAATAAAGTACCGAAAAGTGAAAAAGAAATATAGTAAACAAAAACATGGTAGAATATAATGGTGCAAGTAGGATGAATTGGTATAAATATTTCACAGGTAGTAATATTAACTTAAATGTGCATGATATATATTGCACATATAGAGGTTGTGTGACAGATTATTGCAGGTGGTGAGTAACACTGAGATGAATTATGATGGTAAACATATACGATACAGCCGTAGTGCAGCAGCAGCAACATATTAGGTGTCACAGATGTAGCTTGGTGTAATATTATCAATAGTTCAGTATTATTGTCAATAGTTCAGTATTATTGTTAATAGTTCAGTAATCTGACAGCTTGTGGGTAATAACTGTCTTCGAGTCTTTTTGTGCATGACTTGTATCGTCTGCCTGAGGGTTGTAGATGGAAGAGGATGCTGGTGTTCAAACCAAACTTCTTTCTTCCATCAGGATTTTCCCCTCTGAAAAGAAAAGTTGCTCGCCCCTGCACTGATACCCCAGTACACTTCAGTCAATCAAGTTTCCAGTTGTTTTACGACGGCAAAAAAAAACACCATGGAAGCAGCTCCTCCACAGACTATTACTGGAATAGTAAATGCTACTTCCAGAGCAGATCGCTGCCGTTTTAACCCTCCTGCTACCTTGGGTTGAAAACAACACGAGGCCTTGTGGGTTGTTTTAATCTAAAGGCAGCAGCAGGGTTTAAACAACTTCCAAATGATTCAGTCCGTTAGAATATCTTTGTTGTCATTGTAACAAGTATAACACAATTAATATGTCAAAGCTTTTATGTTGTTTACACCACCTTCCGTTTTGTGTATCGCAGTTATTTAGATCAAAACATTATGGAATTATTGCCAGATGTGACTCACAGATAATCCAGAAATGCTACATGTTGCTAATTTTTACAAAACCCCACTTCAAAAATGGTTGAACTGAGCTTTGAATGAGTCTCACAGGAATAAATCTGACCCACACAGGAACTTATGAATTTGTGGTTTTATTCAAACATGACTAAAATATGACAGCACAGATAAAAAAAACCCACTATTAAAACAAAAATCGTATAAAACACTTGACCAACTACGCAAATCTTAAACATCTTAAACCTCCATCTACATGACAGACATACAAAATACACTGACACTAATTCCCTTTGAGTTTGTGGCTCACAAACATGGAAAGGTAGATACATTTCAGGGGAACAATCAGATTCTTGTGCAGCTTTACATACATTACAGCAGAACATGATTTTAAATAAATCACACATCTGGAAGAACTTGAGATGCAGTGTTTGTGACGTTTATGCTATAAATACTGCTCACACATCTATAAATCCTCATATCTTTATTTAAGATGACCTAATAATCAGTGGTTAAACTGAGAATAAAAAGTTCAACTACAACTGAACTGGCTGATCCTCACATTGAATCACAAAATATAAATTTACACAATTGTACACAATGAACATCTGTTTTTCTTTGAAGGTTCTTGAAACAAAAGTATTTCTTGCAATATTATAAAGCAGTACTTTATATCCAGTTGGTATGACTTTAAAGACATTTGTACACAAAAACACAAAAAATATCTAAAACAATAACAAAAGATTTAAGACAAGTGGTTCAAATAAATGCATAATTTGACACCATAGTTCGGTTCTTTTAAAGTGGAGTTGAAACAGAAGTTATTAATGACCAGACTGACGAGCGGACAGCTAGTCCGAGTGGGACCAAAAGTAATCTCAAAACAACTAAAAATAATCTTAAATATTTCATTGTAATTCAAGATAACACTTTAGACATTTATTTGAACATCACGCAAACACCAGCAGACACTTCTGGCATACGTCTGCCAGGATAAATATGCAGAAATAGTTTAAAATGGAAAAGCAGCTGAGTTAATGTTTAAAAAGTAGAATTCACACAAACTATTATGACATGAGTTGTTTCAACACGGCAGCTAAACACTTTTATACGTTCTAGCCTTTAGCTCGTCAATCTGGTCAAAATTAAACTCAATTTCTCCAAACTGGTCATTCAAATTGCGATCTAGAACAGGTAAGACACTCATTGTTCATGAGCTTTCCACAGAACATCACTTCAAAAGATCCAAACTGTCCCTTTAATGACAAAAAGTACGAGAGCAGGTTTTTAAGATCAAAAAGTGGCACTCGGAGTGAAGAACACAAGGTCTGAAGATAAACCTTCTGTTGGAGGAAAACAATAAGACATTAAAGAGTTTACCACAGGATTAACTTTCCCATGTATCATGACCTCTCCAGCAACTCAGTGTTCTGACTAACACAGTCAAAGACTTCAACTCTACAATTACAAAACATATAAAGTCTTTGTTCACCACTATTTAGCATTGAGCTAGCAGCTAGAAAACAGCCGACCTAACGCAGCTAATGCTAATAAATGACCATCAATAGTTGTCTGGTTGGGAAGCAGCTGTGTTCTTCAACATTCAGACTAAAAGCTCAGTAAAGCTGGAACAAACAGCCCTCAACCAAACAAACAAACAACAGCCAACAATCCCAGCAATGTCAGGCTACATCTCACAGGTTCAGGTCCAACGTGGCACATTGGTAATACTAGACGTTTAATGGATTTTGCAGGGAATAAACACATTTGCTAGCATGAACACATAAACCAGCTTCAAAGCTAAGTGAATGTGTCGTGGATGGATGAGGGATCCCACAGGAACATTTTAGAGGTCAGAAGTCCTGTGGGTCCTTGCCCTCCTCAGACACCTGGTGCACCGTCTGCTGGGCGGAGTCCTGGACGATGTTGGTGTGCGAGGGGTTTAAAGCTGGATGCTGCTGCTGTCCAACCTGTCTGGCCTCTGACAGCTCACTCATAGGTGTCAATCTGAAAACAGGACAAACAGCAGATCACTAACGATCATCACAGCAGATCCGACTGCTTTCATTTTCTTTAACACAACACGTAATCCAGATCAGATTAGAACAAGTCCCTTGGAAATTACCCAGACAGACAATTTTTAAAAGCAAAGTCTAAAGATTTGGTTAGAAAAGGAGCAAAGATGTGACAAATGATTGCAGTGCAGGATCTAAAATTCACCTGGACTCAGAATATCTACAGGGCATGTGGAGCTCAGATGCAACTGAACAAATTAAGTGAAGCGTCGATTGTTTACCGTATTTTTCAGCCCATAAATCAAGTTTTTTTTTTTTTTTTTTTGCATAATTTACATGTCCTGCAATTTATATGCCGAAGCGATGTATTTATGTTTTTTTTCCCATATTTATAAACCAATTTTTGGCTGAGATATGACCATTTTCATTCATTCTGAAAATATTGAACACTAACTTAAAAAAGTTTAGGCTGGTCCTCTGAATGTCCAGAGGACCAGACTAAACTTTTTTAGATTTTTCTACCTGGATTATTGAGCATGCATCAGGATATTGAACACTAACATTTTCAGCCACTAGATGGCACTCTAGCAGTATGGCATGCCGTTGTGTTGTGTAATAGATAAACATGGATATTAATGACACAATCGGCTTGCCATAGCCTTCCACCTTCATCCAGCTTGCCTGACGCAAACTTCAGATCAGCTTCATTTCGCTGTGCCGCCCCAGCGAAATGCAGCTGATTTGACCATTGAAGTCCTTTTATTTAGTAAAAGTTAAATTGAAACACACCTTTGCTATAATGTTGAGCAAACAATTGTTTTTAGGTGCTTATCTTGTTAAATTTTGAAGAAATACGCAGCGTTCCTCCTTCCTGATTTCCTCCCTCTGCACGCTCCCGGAGCACCGAGGCAGCGAGTACGTTTGAAATGCAGCTGATTTGACCGGTAAAGTGCATTTATTAAAGAAAGGTTAAACTGAGACACACCTTTACTATAATTTCAAGCAAACATATAACTGTTTTTAAGTGCTACTCTTGTTAAATTCTTGTTAAAGTCCTCCTGTGCACGCTCCCGTGGCCACCATTCGATTTTTGGCACAACACCGGCCCACATTTTCAGGTTGCCAGTGGTGACGCATAACAAACGCGACGCGTCAGCGGTGACACATAATAGATGCAACGCCTATGGCGAAGTGACATATTTATGTTTTTTTCCACTTTATTAGACATATTTGGACTGATGCGACTTATAGGGTAGTGCAACGTGTACGGCGGAAAATACGGTAGTTGCAACAAACAGGTTAGGTTTGGTTTATTTGTCATATGGGAAATCAACATAAGGTCAACAATGCAATGAAATGCTCAGGATGAGAAGAACCGTCTCGACTCGCCAAAAAACCCCCCAAAAAACAACAAGAACAACAACAAGAAATACCAAAGCATGCAACAAAAATTCAAAAACAAAGCAACAAAAGTGAAAAAGAAAAACATCTACAGCAGCCTGGTCCTGTTAGCAGAGTGTGGCATTGAGGTTCTTTTAGCATCATGGTCCTGTTAGCATCACAGTCCTGTTAGCAGAGTGTAGCAGTGAGGTTCTTTTAGCATCATGGTCCTGTTAGCATCA